TTTAGACTATATTCTGTTAAATAGGCACAGATTTACCTACTGTCTTAGTCGCTGGTAATTTCAAATGCAAAACTTTTCAAAGTGGAAAAAAGTCCTAATTCCTCATTCATCAGAGCCAGTTAAGCTTCAGTCATTGATAAACAGCATATAGTGTGTGTAGTGCTTATATAATGTGTATAAATGTATCAAGAAATGTCGCTTTTCTCTTTAAACAAAATACACCCTGATTTTCACGTCAAGCATGAAAAAAAACGACGATGCATATTTTTGCAAAGGACCAATGGCATCAGACAAATAGTGTCCCAACCATAGTTGAAAAAAAACCTACGCCCTTGCCTCTGATCCATCTTTGTCACACCACCAGAGGTACAGAGATTGGCAGTCATTCTGCAAAGCAGCATGTATTTCAACATATTATAATCCCAATGAAAACACAAAACACTATTTTTCTATGCTATTTTTATATAAGCTACAATTGATCCATATTGTTTTGGGGATTATTTTCCTCCTTCCAACAGAGTTGGACTGGGCATCTTTCCCCCCACAGAAGGGCAATAGAACTATTTGAGACCATGTAAAAATATTGGTTTCATGTAAAAAAAACATGTTGAAAAGAAAAATTAGGGCATGCTTTGGTGGCACAGTGGTTAGTGCACGCGACCCATGTATGGAGGTCTTAGTCTTTGATGTGGCCGACCCGAGTTCAAATCTAACCTGTAGTCCTTTGCCGCATGTCTCTAGCCTCTCTGATACACCATTTCCTGTCAGTCTACTGTCCAAAAAAGAGGCACTAGTGTTGTACAAAAACAGGGACATATTTTAGACTTGATCATAACTTCGGGTCTAAATATCTGACAGTAACTAAAGCTGACCTATCACACCACTTTTTTGTTGTTGTTTTTTAAGTATTGTTTTGCAGTTAGCCAAAGAGACATCATAAGAAAACATTGTGCTAACGAAACCTCTAACCAAATGTTCTCATCTACTTCCCATTTGCCCTCTTGTTCTGTGGATTAGCTAATAAATAACTTTCATTCTAAAATCTCTGACATCACTGATTCAATTGCTCCAATTAAGGAGAAGGTCATTGCTTTGAAAAATGTCTCTGTGGAGAAGTGCCCCGCCACAAGTCATAAGTTAAAAAAGGGAATGTAGAAAAGCTAAAGGCAGATGAGAAAGAACTTCACAGAGGCTGAATTTATTTAGAACTTTATTATGTTGAGGACAACTTTAAGTCTTAAGAAGCCACCATATAAACTCTCAACACTAAGCACTTTGCATTGTCTTTGTACTGAATTGTGCTATACAAATAAATTTGCCTTGCCTTGCCTTACAGGTGGGAGGCTTGATCCCACCTGTAGCCTCTGTTACGGTCTAATACATTCAATGTATTAGACCGTAACAGAGGCAGATCATCTTATGCTCACATATTGCCCCATTTACACTACCCTGCTGAAACCGATCAATGCTGAGTTCAGACTTCAACCATTAAGCCCCATCAGTCCCCTCCAGTCCCTCTACTGAAGGTTAACTACAGTACTACATGTGTCTTTTAGTGAATAAAAAGGGGCATAAAGGGAAAGAATACACAAGCAAACAAAATTAATAAAAACAAATTACAAATAAGACTAAGAATAGTGGGAAGCAGCACCTTTGTTTTCAGTGAATGAATAAGAAAAAGACCCTGCTGAATAAAACCAGTCAAGTCTGAAATCACATGCTGTCAACATTGCAATCAGCACACACTTTAGCAAATGCTTTACGAATTACAACTAAGTATTTTACATGAATTGTATGATACAGCAATGTCACTTTATTTGTGCAAAGCAAGTAGAGACATCACAAAAAGAAATGTGGTTCCAAGCAATTTCAATCTAAGCATTGGAAATATTAATTTGTGAAGAATTTTCAAAACCATGTTTTGCTTTCCTTGCATGTTACTTTATGTACTACTTCGTTTTGGGTATTTCATATAAAATCACAAGAAAGCAAAGTGAAGTTTGTGGTTTTTGGTTTGACAAAATGTAAAAATGATTAACTACAGCAGTATTCATTCTTTTGTGAGGCACTGTAATTAAGGTTTCCAGTTAGATGTGCATCATCACACAGATTCAAAGAGCTTAATCTTGCCACATCCAAGTAGGCAAAGTCCAGGCAAGCTCTTTTGTTAGTGTGAGAGTACATGTCTGCGGAAGCTTTTACAGCCTTGGAAAGCAGCTGAAAAAAGCAATCTTAGGGCTTTAAGTCTTTTATCTATTCACCCAAAGTGGTATCTTTTAATTAGTCTTCTTTTTAGAGAAGCAAAATGCTGAGAATTATGAGTGAAATAAGCTTCTTTTTAAATCAATCATGTACCTTTTAGTGAAAGTATGAGTCGTTTCCTGGTTAAGCTGAGGAAGCTTAAATCTGACAAGAGATTTCTTTTAGTCACACAAGGATGTGAAATGGTGAGTGGTACCTGTCAAAGTTAACTTTCACATTAAATATTGAACATTGCATACTTTAGTATTTTCAGATTTAGTCTCAAAGCTAAGGAGCCCGTAAAAAACCACAAACTTTTGTGATTTTTTTTTTTTTTGGGAGGGAGCTTAACTTTTTTTTAATGTACCCCCCAAAAAATAAAGTAGCATGCACTTGTATTAACCCCTTCGAATGCAGCAATGTATAAAAAAAAATTTTCACTGCATAAACATATATATATATAAATCTATATCTATATACATCTATATCTATAGATAGATAGATAGATAGATAGATAGATAGATAGATAGATAGATAGATAGATAGATAGATAGATAGATAGATAGATAGATAGATAGATAGATAGATAGATAGATAGATAGATAGATAGATAGATGATAGATAGATAGATAGCCATTTTGAATGGCTGCTACTGTGCATACAGGTAAGTAGTATCCTGTCCCTACTGAGCAGGCTCGAACTGGGAACAATTTTTGGCCCTGGCATTTTCATAAAACGCCTGGATATATGAAATCTCGCAGAATTTGAACCAAAGTCTGCCAAAGTTGCCAGATTGGGAAACATCCCAACCTAGCAACAATGCACGTATGACGGGAAATTTAAGTCTTTAGCAAAACCCCATCATGCAACGCAACATATTTTTGCAAAATAGTCAAACATACATTTGCCAAATATAAGAGGAACATTGTAGTTTGGTTTAAAGAAAGCATTTGAGTTTTATTATAATTTAAATTGTGGCAAGGATTTCAGAGTTTTTAGAGTTTGAAGAAATAGAAAATTACACAATATGCCAACTGTCACAAGGATGTGCGTGACAAGGAAGGGCGATTTATACTGCATGCATCATTTAGGTAGTTAACATTGCATTACTTCTTGAGCTTCTTGAGCTCCTTGAGTTATTTACTGCCTCAGGTAGGTTTTTCTGAGGTTTTCGAGATTTAAGGAGGGCCGGCCCTCGCACGCTGAAATTAGGAAGACCGGCCCACCGGGCAAATGCCAGGTATCACAGTTTAGCAGTCCGAGCCTGCTCCTGAGTCATGGATGTCACAGTTCCTCCAAAGTTACTGTGGTTCTCTAGGATTCTCAGTCAAGTGCTCCCTTGAGTGGCCTGTCAGATGTTCACATTGCTGATAAATATTTACGTTTTTCACGTTATACTCTCCTTTTAAAGAGACTTTCATGTCTTCCTACTCCAAAATTCAATCTGTAAAGGCTGATCAGTTCGAAATAAAAGAGGGCAACGTGAAATTAAAAGGTATAGACTGTGATTGTGGTCAACAAACTAACAAAAGTCAGCATAAAAAAAAGCACACCCAGTAGAAGGCCACTGACTGGAAGTTGGAGGGGGGTAGGCTGCCTTTCGGCTGGCGTTTGACTGTGAAGGGCGATTTTGAAAGGCTGTAAGATCCTTATTAAAACATACAGGGCCTGCATTCTACAGGTACAATATTGACTGATTTTCAATGCATAGTTTAGTTAAAGCCTTTTAAAGTGTAGTTTCTTTAATGCAGCTGTGTTTTCTTGATGAAGAGCTTTCTGACCCAAAGCATAAACAATACAAGCTTGAACAGATCGAGAGCACAAACTGAAGAAGCAGCAAATTCACGGAGCTTCTGGAGAATTGCAATGAATACAGAACTCTATTTTTAGTTTGTCTCTGATTATGATGTCTGACTATGCGAGTGCTGCCAGCAAGCACTTTGTCACTCACGGCTCGTACTAAGTGCCGTGCATTTGTTGTGAATTTGGACGAACTGTGCTGAAGAAGGCAATCTATCCAACATCCTTCTTGTATCACTTAATCAGAGGAATCAGCGGGAGCTGAGCTTTCAACACAACTGCTTTGAATATTCAAACACAATTTGTCACTGTTTTACAGCTGATGCTGACAGCAAAACTTATGTTTTAGGTCTGCTACTAACAACTCTTGCCCACACCAGTCATATGCTACTATTTCAAAACAGATCTCAAATCAAATGGTGCATGGGGATCTTGCAAGGTGTTATGTAACATATTTCCTATAATTTCTGTAGTTTTGTATCTGTAGAGCTGCAAGAAGCACCACTTTCATTCACGGCTGTCAGAACTGGTCACGGTGCTTTGTCAGAGACTCTGTGAACTTATCCACCCACTGAAACTACAGTCAGCACATCACTTACTGTAGTACATGATTTGCACAAAAAGTACTTGTAGTTTGGATTAAACGTGATGCATAATTCATTTTTATACATCTATGGAATCCAGACTCCTCTCATACATGCCTTTTTTCTAACTTTAAAGGGTAGTTGTATACAGATGTCACGTGCATGCAACAAATAAATAAATTGTGCATTAAAAGTGTAAACAAGCTGATGCATTATCTAAATCCCTTGCACAATAACCAAATAGCCCACAGCCATGTGAAATACGCACAGTTGTCTTTCATGCATGGTGTATGTATTATTATTTACTGTAGCAATAGTGTAGTAGTGTGTGTTGCAAGAATAGAGAGAGGAGAAAGAGGGAGGAGGGGGGATTACCTTCTTCAGAGCTGACATCCTGGGCTGATTCTCCTCCTGCAGAAGTGCGCTCACATCCTGAGGTCCTAAGTCAAGTTTGATGGGTGCGCAAATCTCAACTCAGCCCGGTGCTGACACGGAGCCACGAGGAGCCTGCTTTGTATTCTCATCTCGCTTCCATCCCATTCTACAGCAGAGCTTGGTGTGTGCACGCCCCACGTCGCTGCAGTTACAGGAAACAAACACACGAGGAGCTCTAGCCTGATATTTCTCTTTGTAGAAGAAGATGTTGGCCATTTAAATCAACCATCATAGATAAAACAAACTGATTACTAAAATGTATTATTTTAAAAGTTTTAGTCAACAGATTAATTCTTCTCATACTAACTTTCTTTTATTTATTTTATTTATTTATTTTATTTCTGTTATAAACGATAATTCCTAACAGTTTATATGAAATTATCGCTAAGTAAACTAACCCACTCTACCTGGAGGTACTGTATTTAATATGCAATATAGTAATGCCGATTTGCGGAATTGGTTTGATGGTTTCGTATTTGGGTGGACTTTATGATATAAGGCTGTTATATCTGCTATGAACCCATCATATACTTTAAATTAGTATGAATGTGAACCGAGTTTGGCGCAGTGGGTGGAGCTATCCAGATATTGTTAGGGTTGTCATTCAAATGGATGAGCGGTAGCGAGGTTTTAAATGTTAGGGAGGTTCATTTTAAGTTAAATAAACTGTATGACTGTCGCAGATGGGTTCTAATATGTCTATAGTTTATTTGAAATGCCTACGAAATAACCAGCGTGGAAAAGCTAGCGTGAGACTTGTAGAAACTTGCTAATGTTAGAAGCATAGCTAACTCGCTGACAGCTTAGCCTTCAGCTAAGATACTCCTGCCCTTCTTCATTTGAGGCAGTTGGAAATGTTTACATGGCACACAGAAAAGACGGTAAGCTGATATAATCGTCGTATCTTATTGCCAAATCCAAAAAACGTCTTTGTAATGCAGCTAGCTTGTGTATTACCCTGCTAAATTGCTAACTAGCCGTGGTGTAAACAAATGCACGCGGTATCCCAATGCATTCTGGTAAACTCTTTCCTTAACCTTTCATCTTGTAGCCTTGTTAAAACCCCTTTTTATTTTTTTGAGCCTTACAACTACAGATATATATATATATATAGAGAGAGAGAGAGAGAGAGAGAGGATCTATCTATCTAAGATCACTTGGAGAGTCTTCAAGTCTTGTTTTACTGCGTTGTTAGGCATGATCCAGCTAGGTACTATTATCAGTTTGTTTCTCTTCTCTACTCCTCTGTACTGTTACAATTCATCATCTTTGTCTTCGTCATTCACAGCAGCAGCAACCAGTGGCTTTGACCAGAGATAATTTTTCCTTTGGCTGTGCAGGGAGCCTCAAAGTGCATATTTACACATGCATAAGGTAGACTCAATCTGTGTGAGCAGATGCTTTGTTTGTGGTCTGGATTGACATATAGACTCCATTCTGCTCTGCCTTTAACCCGGTTACAATGGGCTCTAAGGGTGAAACCTATACACTTACCCCTTAAAGTTCTGATCCTCACTTGTTTCTGTTGCAGACAAAGTCAGTGAAACCATGATGGGCCATCAACAGGTGTTTTTGGAATAAAATGTAGTCATTGCTGTGCTGCACCAAGGATGGAAGTAGAGCAGAAAAATACATGACTTTAAACTCCAAAGGGCATTTTCAAAGATGGAATTAGAAAAGGTTTTTTAACGACTAAGTCTATGATTTGTAGAAACTGTTTTTGCTGAAGTAAGTTTGTAGAGCTGGAGTTTTCAGTTCCAGTCCTTCAGGTCTGGCGTTCTGCACTTTCCTGCTTCTACACCTAAATCAAATGGCTGTTTAATCTCATTTCTATACAGTTGTCTGGGGTCCTGCTAATTATTATTTGGCTCAGGCATGTTGAATCAGAGACACATCTAAATTGATTTTATTTATTCATGCAATCATTGAGATGGCTCAAGCTCAGTCAAAACAGATTGATCAATAGTTTTTGATACTAAGGCAGTCTAGTCTGTTAAAAATGTGTGTTTGTAAAAGAGGAAATCAAACAAAAAGAACCCATATCATGTTTTCGGTCCTCTAAACAGTTCTACCATGTATTAATGTTGGCGTATCACAACTCTTTTATATAAGTTTACAGCCGTAATGAGTGTTATTGGGAACAAGTTCAAGATAATTTGACTCTACTCCAAGGCTGTGTATACAGGAACACAGCATTCTCCTGATCCAGGAGAGACACAGGTGTTCCATCAGCAAGTCCCTTCTTGGTCTCAAAACAACGGACTAATATTCGATTTAGAAGAAAACAAAATACTTAATGAGGTTATGCTGACTTTTTCATTTCTTTTTTTGTGTCATGTTTACAGTTTTTAAATCAAAGGTTCTCCAGAAGCTCTATCCTGCAGTTGTCACTGTTGGAAAGGAACAAAATGCATCAGCCGTCACAGACGACCTGCCCACAGCAACTGGTGGGAAAATCAGAACAGGTGGAGAACATGGTTCAAGTGGTACGCTGACATTAGCAATTCAAACTTAAAGGTTTTATTCCATATATTTTCTTTTTATTCTATTAATAATTTTTGCCACTTTTTTTACAGGAGATGCAGGGAAGCTACAGAATGCTGCCACTTCAAGCAGAAAGATGTACACAGTTCTACCTCCTCCCCCAGACTATAATATGCATTTAGAGAAATCTGTCATACTTCCCCAGATTGGAAGCGTAAACAATGCAGAAGATCCTGCTGGTAAGACGACAGCTATAGTCTTTACATTTATGGACTTCTCCATGCACCATTTCACTTGCAGAGATTTATGACCTGGGGTTTCTCTAGGTTGGCTCTACCGAGCCTGGAAGTCATTCATTCTAAATGTCATTACAGCTCTAATGCAGGGAATCCTTGGTGATTATATTAATTTTGCTTTTTTTTTTCTCCAACTGAGTTCAACTTCATTACAGTGCAGCTGGTGGTTAATCTTTTTGGAATAAATATATATATACCTTTTTTATATAGCTGTATTTTTTATGGGATTCGCATGTCTGAAACGGCTTGATAATATAATGTAGGGAAAAATCCCAAACATTCTTTTGAGGAGCAGAATGTTCACATTTTGGACAAGACAATAGATGATTTGAGAGGGGCGTGAAGGAAGCCATCTATGTTAAAAAAAACAACAACCTTAAACAGTTTGGGTGGACCCTAAGGCCCCGTCCACACGAAGTCAAAACGAACACGAAACGCTAATATTTTCCAGAACGTTTGTCGTAAAGACGGAGACGTAAAATAAATGTGATCGTCCACACGAATACATGAAAACGCTGCAAATGTATGCCAGGCCTGTAAGTGGCGCTGTGGTGCCAAAGCAAAAATAGGCGACGAAATGTTGGGCATGCGCACTAATATTTATACATGGTTGCCCTGCGGGTCCATTTTCGTGGTTCAGTCAAATTCAGGTGCTGAACTATGTCGTCGATATTGCTCTGTTCTTCCTGGAGATATTCCAGAAGAAGAAGATTCTGTTGTAAGCCCGACAGCAGGGTGAGTAGCATGAGCAGCAACCATTCAACACAGTACGGCGCCATTGTTGTTGTGATACTGTGTCGCGCATGCGTGTTTAGAGGCGACGCTATGACGCATGCGTGTAAGTAAAAAAATGCGGTTAGAGCTTAAAGATGGAAACGCGAAAACGGCGTTTCAAAATCTTCCCACTCTGAAGGCTTAATAAAAAAAAGATCGTTTACAGACCCCCGAAACGCCGGCTTCGTATGGATGAGAGGCTGGTTTGGTGAAAAATTTGTGCGTTTAGGCCAGGGTTTGGCTTTGTGTGGACGGGGCCTAAGCTTTCTAAACCTACAATGCATCCATTGAGTTGATCCGTTCACACTATCTTCGCAACCCCCCACCCCTTTACAGGTGAACAGAAGACCTCCCCTGTTCAGCCAGGCCAGCAATTACCTTTAATGACCGCCCTTTCAGAGACATAGACGGGTATAGGGCATTGCAGGCAAAATAAAAGAAGCCAAACGACCCCCAGTCCAAAGGGGTAGACACTTTCACCTGTTTCAATTTGCATGTTTTCTAAACAAAAACAAGACTTTGATGGGCTACTGTATGAAACCTTGAACTCAACTCTATTTTTGACAGTTGAATTGAAAAAGCTTTCTGGATGAGAAGCAAAATATCTCCGAATTTGGAAACAAAGTCCAGTGGATTGGGGTTTTTTTCACCTTTTTTGGGGTGACTATGACCTGGATGACTGAGAATCTTCACCACCATATAATGTTATTTTCTGTATTTTCCAAAGTTAAATAAAATGTTTATTATCATGCAAGTAACAGGAAGACAAAACAGAGCTGTAGCCTTACTAAAGTTTAGAAAATGCGACATAAAAGTCATTGCTTCAGGGGGGTCAAGCAGAGCTGTCCGGAAATGTAGGAACAAACGTTCAAATCAATGACAAAAGGAAGATTTTGCAAGTCTTTAGGAAAAAGGCGTAAAGAATAAGTCTAAATTTAAATCTCGAAGTCTTTAAAATGAAAAGAAATCTCTGTTTATTACATCTGATGCCCTACATACTTGGACTGTCACTGTTTCAGCTGCCAGCTGGTCCTCAGCTCATTGATGTTTATGGGTCAGAATTTAATGAGAGCTGGTTTCCCCATCTTCTTAGTGCTTTTAGGTACAGAAAGCAGCAGAGATGCAATGAAGCGAGGAGCAATGATTTAGTGCCTTACATACAAAAATAGATAGAGAAATAGAGAAATTTTAGAACAAAAGTAGCCATTGCTAATTTGGTCGATCAAATCATTCAACCATTTAAAAAAAATTATGTCATTTAACACAGAAATCTGAGAGTGCATCTGATTGTGATTAGAAACAGCTCTTCAGGAAATAATAAACAATCAGGAATGAGGAGTTAAGCTGATGATGACAACAGTCCCTGTGTTTAACTTTTTATTAACTATCCATAATCTATAATTCAACAGTTATTTTATTTTTTGACTGTCACAAAAATTAGAATATAGACTATTTATGCTGTGAGCTGTAGTTACACATAGAAATGGATCTAATGAGCAATACACCCTTGTTCCTATCAGAGGGATGTGCCGATAAGGGAGGTGAAGAGGAAGATGGAGAAAAAGAGGCAGAAGATCAACAGTGTAGAAGAAGAAGAAAGAAGAAGAGGCCGGCTGTTCCTCAGGACTGTGGGAAAGATGGACCTCCAGTGAGCGACGAATCAGGTCCCAGTCCGGTGCCCGTCAACGAGAGAGGCGAGCAAATGAGCAGGAACAAGAGGAGAAAGCTGAAGAAAAAGAGGCACAAAGAAAAGTTGTTGTCCTTGGGTCTGATGCCCCGCGCTGCTGCACTGGAGTTCACTTACAGTAAAGATGGAGAGGAAGATGAGAGGAAAGCTGCTGAGCTGTCAGAGTTCATGAGCACAACACTGGAAATCTATATGTCAGACTGTAAGTATTGGCACCTGTACTGCTAGTGGGTCGTAGACATTGATTATGCTCTCTGCACCCAGATCTGTACTCCTTACCTAAGCAGCTCTGAGACTTAAGGGTTATAAATGATCTTTACTCGAACATAAATCTTACACATGTTTCCTTAGTGGTAATTAATGTAATTAGTTATTGTGATGTTGCCGTAGAGCGGTAGGTTTTTAGTGGGGGTCACCAGGGGGCGCTGGAGGCTCAAACCTTGAAAGAAAAACTATTGAAAACAAACAAAAACAAACATTATTTTAGAATGATTTTTAGGTATGTATTATGATTATTATTATTATTATAAATATAAGGTAATATATCATACTAACATAGAAAACTAGGGGGTTTAAAACTGAACTACCCCCCATGTGTGACAGATCAGTACAATGCCTTTTTTGCATCAGCATAGCTTTTTAACTTTAAATGTAATCAAAACATTTTGTTGAAGCATTTGTTATTCATTGGGAATACAGCAGTGTATATATATATATATATATATATTTATTGAACTTTTTTGGAGTTTATTGAATTTAACCTATCCACTTGGGGAGCATTGGAGCGCCCAGGGAGCAATCAGGGGTAGGGTTGTCACGATACTAAACTTTTCAACTCGATACGATACTAAGTAAAATATTCGATACTCGATACCCTTTTCGATACCACAAGAATAAAAACAAAGATTTTAAAATTCAAAAGTAATATTTTCATTACTAAAAAAAAATACAAGAAATAAATAAAAAAAACTATAAGAATACTATTTTGTGGTTGTATGCTGTGCACAATATTAAGCAAGCTTGATAAAAAACTTAAAATTAAAATTAAGTGTTCCTTCCTTGACTTTCTTTTGCAGACATAACAATGACACTGGCCAAACCAGTTAAGCAAAAATTATTCTCAGCAGCTGCACCTGTTACAAAAAAAGTCTGAAACTGAAAAATGCACAGAATTATTCAATCACACAGTGATTAGAAAGTGCATTTTCCACTATTCTGCACTTTAGATGGCTGTATCGATACTTTTTTAAATGAGTATTGTATCCGGATACAAAGTTTCAGTATCGATACTTTTTTGATTATCGATACTTTTGACAACCCTAATCAGGGGTTAAGGGTTTTTACCCAGAGTGGCAGTCTGTGGTAGTGGGGCTCGAACTCAGAACCTCAGGATTCCAAGCTCTATGCCTTAACCACTAGACCACCACCTCCCCAGTATGGAAAAATGTGTGTTGGTCTTCTTATGTTACACAACTGCAATAATAGAATAGGGATAAAAGAAAGAAAAGCATTCTATAATTTGATTCTTTATGTTTTGAAGCATTAGCTGTTAGTTTGCAAAAGAGTTCCCTGACCAGAAGCTAACTCTGTGGGGGTCCGTAGCATGGAAAGGTTTGGGAACCCCTACCTTAGAGTTTTGTTTTATTAATCTTAACAAAATAATAGAAAAAAAGATATGAGAAATGCTGTAAGAAGGGTAGTAAAGGCATTCCTGGAAACCAGTAAGTTATATACATTTACATCAACCATTTTAATTCAATATTTTAATCCATATTTCAAAGATCTTTGGGATGCGTTCTTCTTTTAAAGTTCTCCAATGCAGATAAAAATAAAGAGCAAGTACATTTCTGTGTATTTTAGTTCTGAAACAATTGAATTAATTGTAATTGATTATTTAAATAATCTTCAACTAATTTAGTAATTGATTAATCGTTAACTGGATTATAGAGACTCTAAAACATGCTTTTACCTGAAAGAACAACCCACTAAGAGCACTAAATTCTACCAAAATTGTAAAAAAAAACACACAACATTTTGCATTTAAGAAAGAAAAATATTGTTCATCTGTCAATGTGCTTTATTCAGTACTCCTCAACTTCTTTAATTTGGCTAAGCCTTCCTTCAAGAATCTTTGTGTATATGATTATTAAACGATTAATCAAAAAAATTATCGTCAGATTTATTGTTTTACAAAATATGTTAGTTGCAGCCCTAGTTTGTTTTAATGTGTAATATTTGGGTAGGATTAGCTTCAAAATTATTTGTTAAAAAAAGCTGCATTTACCAAGGCAGCTCTGTTCAATTAAAGTTAATCCTACTACACAACCCATTGCTAAAAGAATGAATTTTAGTGACTAGGAGGTGAAATGTTCAATTATTCCAAATTTATCAGGAGCTTTTTTAAATTTTGTTAATTTTGGATTTAATGAATCTAAATTTGATGTCTAATCTCAGCCTTTTTTCTGAAAGATTGTAAAAGAGGAGAGATCTATCACACACCTGCATTTGAATTTTTCTTAACCAAAACCATGAAACAATTAACAGCCTTGATGTCTAAATCCGGATGCTGTTGGGCTGTTCATAGAAAAAAAGAAAAATATAGCGTAGCTCATGATGCAAGCAAACAAACATTTATTGAAGCCTTTTTTTGTATCTTCATTGTCTTCTGTTTGTGTCTTTATTTCAAGCACCTTTACTCTTCTGTTTAATCTCAAAGAACTTTGTAAGGAAACATTGATTTATTACATAATGGCTCCATATGTTAGTCCTGTATGAACTAATGCTAAATTTGTATTGATGCCTTATGTAACAAGCCACTTTCCATTTGCTGTCTTTTCAGCCTCTCCTCATATGGTCCAGACTCCTCATCTTTGTGCTACAGTGGATGGGCTTTTAAAGGAACTAGCTGGTGGATCGAAACCCAACTCTGTCCTCAACCAGCTGTACAGTCTTAAAACATTAGTACAACAGAATATGGCTGGCAGTCTAGAAAAGGCATTATCAGAGCTGAACAACAGTCCCGATATGTCTGCAGGTGGGTGAAAATATCAAGGAGGTGTAATTAAGGGAAGTCGTTCAATCCTGTCCCTGCAGGTTAACGCTTGCCTGAGTTTGCCCTTCCCTGCTAAAACCTGTCCTAACTTCAATATTTGTTGCTCAGCTGATTAAACCTGCCCTTACTTGCCTATTTCAGCCTTTACTTGCACCATCTTTTCCTGGTTAGTTGATAGCATTGTTGCCGGTTTTAGAACTTATGCTGGTGGTTTAGCAGACTTGTTTGGGCTTGCATTTAAAGGAATAGTACACCCAAAACATGATTAGCCTTCATTTTCTACTCACCCCCATGCTGAACAACACTCTGGAGTACTTTTTTGATATCTCAAATGCATCTGGAGATCTGGGAGGCTTCTTGCTGTCTGCTGACATTCAAATAATGGAGGTCTATGGTGACCGAGACAGAAAGGTCCATAAAAGTCCACAAAAAACGTGTCAATATTCCTCCATACTGCTCGTCCAATGTATTCCAAGTCTCCTGAGTGGGTAGCATCCAGAATTTACTCGAAACGAAGTCATTTAGAATGTTTTTAGAGCATAAACAGTAGTGTATAGGATTTCCTGAAAGCGCGCTCACGACGCTACGGAAGCCGGCAGACCAAACCAGCGCATTCAGCTCGGCAAAGAACTCATGCTCTTCCTCAACATTGAAGTCCTCAGACATTTTTCTTTCATTGTTTCTTTCTTTGCACAGGTAAACAGCACATTTCTTCTTCTACGCTTGCATTATTGGCAGAGCAGATGCTGAATGCGCACTTTCATCTGGTTTGGTCTGCCGGCTTCCGTAGCGTCGTGAACACGCATGTGCGCGCTTTCAGGAAATCCTATACACTACTGTTTATGCTCTAAAAACATTCTAAATGACTTCGTTTCGAGTAAATTCTGGATGCTACCCACTCAGGACACTTGGAATACATTGGACGAGCAGTATGGAGGAATATTGACACGTTTTTTGTGGACTTTTATGGACCTTTCTGTCTCGGTCACCATAGACCTCCATTATTTGAATGTCAGCAGACAGCAAGAAGCCTCCCAGATCTCCAGATGCATTTGAGATATCAAAAAAGTACTCCAGAGTGTTGTTCAGCATGGGGGTGAGTAGAAAATGAAGGCTAATCATGTTTTGGGTGTACTATTCCTTTAAGTCATCAGTCAACAGAGGGAAAGCAGGTTGTGTAGTAGCAATAGGAAGAGCAGGGAGGTTGATGTTAATTAGAAAGAAGCTAAAAGGAGTTCAGGTTTCATGTGGAGGATTCAGATTAGCGTTACATCTGAGGTCACAGATTGACAGTCGTCTTTATCATGGATTCTCTATGAAATGTCTGGCTTTTTGCTCAGCAAGAGAATCCTCGCCTGTTTTACAGCTGCCTCAGAGCTTTTTAAACCACAGCAGCTGTCGTCCTACTGTATGAGTCATGCTGCTATTCACGGGTAGAAATGTTTTTTTTTTTATGCAAGTATATGATAATTATAAGTAGAAATACATCAATACATACATTTTTATACATTTTATCTGAAGGTTTAGTGTACGTCTAAGGACATTTTTTTTTATAACAAAGTAGCTGAAGATCAGCAAAATTGGAAAGGCGGATTTTCAGTTAGATTATGGTCCAGACCTTTCCAGCTATTAGGTAAACTTCCACTTCAGTTTCTAGTCCTTTTGTACTCTCTCCAGAACTATAGGAAAAGTCCGCTCATATTCAGAATACAAACTTCTGAAAGTACTTTAAATTAGAGATGTCGCGATCCAGGTTTTTGCACTTCCGATCCGATACCGATATTGTTTTTGGACTTCCGATCCGATACCGATACTGGCCGATACCAGCCTATCCGAGCATGTGTTTAAGTTAAAGTATTTAGGCTTAGTTGTAAGACTCATGTTGAAAAGGGTTTTAGTACTCTTGATAACATCTAGCCAGCTGAATTAGGTGAGATTGAATAAAACACAATGATTGGTAACAACAAACTTACCTGTTTATTAAGAGATAAATACAAACTGGACAAAATTATGAAAAGCAATCTGAAATTGCACAGTGAACAGTAAAACCGTAAACAGTTAAAGGTGCAAGTATTACTGTAAGTTTTAATAAAAATGCAAAACAGACAAGAGTGGAAAATAGTCTATTAACTTAGAATCAGGACTCTACTCTTGAAAAAAGACAATGCTTAAAGAAAAAATCAGTGCAAATAATAGTGAACTATTACACAAAAATGCCTTATACTCCCCAATCTCCTCCACACCTAGTCTCCATCTACACATCGTGCAGGATAAGATAATCCCACACGGCTGACATTTTCCCCGCTATCTTCCAATTCACCTGTTTTAATGGTTAGGCCGGGAGACAGACCCAAAAAGACCTGTGGGTGTGTTGAAGGTGTTCTGAAAAATGCGGAACACTGGCACAAAATAGTGGAATGGATCGTTTCAATCGGCGAAAATGTAAAATACGGACCGGATTGTTTTTTAAAAAATGGATCGGCAGCCTGGATCGGCATTTTTACATGCTTTGCCGATATGCATTTTTTTGCCAATATCGGCGTCCGATCCGATACGTGGATCGGATCGGGACAAGCCTACTTTAAATATAAAATTATTACATACTGTTCAATAAATGATAAGTGTTTTTAATTAAGACTAATTTTCATTTGAATGTGCTTTACTGGAGGGATCCATGTCAAAGAGCACTACTGCCATCTACCGCTTCGTGACGTCACGGTGCGGTATCGGCTGTTGAGCAAGTCCCAGTGCTGTATCTGCTGTTTGTCACAATGCGCTATTATCCAAGTCATCTTGAAAACATTCTGCGAAATTTAGCTACACATTACATGTTTTTTCTCTGGCCAGAAGTTCGATGACAAATCCTCCCTCTTCAAGTTGGCAATCCAATGACGAACCCGTCCGTGGAGGATCAGGAATCGGAAAGATGAAATAACTAATTCGTTTTCACTTTTACCCGATGTATTCCAACATCCAACTGCCATGCATGTGGGTATTGTCAGTTTAACTATAGCTCTCACGAATTTCAATGGTGAAGTCCTCTGGAAATCTAAAGTAGTTGCTGTTGATTGCAGATGTGTCTAGTATCTCCCATTGATTCTGCTTGTAAAGCTGGGAGAATGGTGCTAGGTTTACCGCACCGTGACATCACTGCCGGAAGATATCAGGAGTGAGGTGTTACTATATTAGGGGGAAAAAATGGCCACTCCTGGACTCGGTGATCGTGACGAAAATCTTTGTTTCTATTTTTTTACTGATTAACGCTAAATTAATTAGATCACAGCAAATGTGTTAGTTTTAGGTTGTTTGTATCTTAACCCACCTTCTGTGCCCATTATGAAGAAAAGCATCCCCACGATGGGATGCTGCTAGCTGTTCATTTTCAAGATTGATATGGATTTAGTGTTTGTTTTCCGACACAAATGTCCTTTTAAATCTTGTCCAAAACATTCAGTTTTGCTCTGACAACCATAAACCTTCTCCCTACTGATTGCTATGTTTTTTGCAACCTATGAAAATTTGAAGTAGGATTTATGTTGTTTTTTCTTTCATCAAGGCAATTCTGTTTGTATAGCACCATTCAGTACATGGACAATACAAAGTGCTTTACATGAATCAGATGATAAAGCTGATTAAAAGCAAGTAAAAAAACATGATAAAAGAAGGTAGAGAAGAAAATTATACTGTTAGATCAGAACCTTGACCTAATAATACCTCTAAAAATATAGGTTTTTAACTTTAACTTAAAGAACTCACGCTTTCACCCCTTTTCCACTCTTCTGGAAGTTTGTTTTAGGTAAGTACAGCATAGAAACTAAATGCTATTTCTCCAGGTTTGGTTCTAGTTCTGGGTGAACAGAGTAGGATGGAACTAGAAGACCTGCATGGTTTGAGAGGTTGAAACACTGACAAAAAATCTGTTATTATTGAGCTGCTGATCCATCCAGTGATTTATAGACTTACAGAAGGATTTTAAAGTGTATTCTCTGAGCTAAAGTGAGCCAATGGGAGGACTACAGAACCGGGCTGATGTGCTCTACTTTCTTGGTTTTAATGAGAACATTAGCAGCAGCGTTTTGGATCAGCTGCGGCTGTCTGATAGACCTGTAAAGACACTGTTGCACTTGCTTGTTTCTTGACACTTTCATAAAATACAGATTTATCCTCTACACAACTTATAGTTGTCTTCATGTCAGGAGATTCCCTCTGAGCAGTGGATCACTGCTGCTCCTCTAAAGTAACCACCTGCTTCTTGTCTGCTTGTACTAATCATTTATTGCAGAGCTTATCAGGTGTGGTATAGAGTCTTGGAAACTTACATTAACAACAAACTAACAAAAGCTTGGCTATCTACCTAAACTGTGCTTTTTTAGATAATCAGGTATTTATTTGTGAATTGGGGTGTGTTTTGCTACATGTTCACATATTTAGAAATTACTGAATCTAAATTGCACAATGACTAATAAGTAATTCAATTTTTAGAAACAAAACTTCTCTCAAGTGTATTTGACTTTGGAAATATAACTGTAACCAACCAGTGACATAAAACAAAGGTGAAATGATGTTCAATTGCATATGCGATCATTTTCACATGATCTATTATCAGAAAGATGCTTTTTCTGAAATACCCATGAGGGTGCAACAGCACTACATGGAAGGCTTCACACCCTAAAGACCAAGAAGCTGTGCAAAAATACCAGGGACAAAGGTGCTGAAAGAAAGCCAGGGTTCGGTTGTGAAGAATACCCAGTTCCTTAATTTCCCCTCGGAGCATTTTCAAAGGAATAAAAAATAAGAATCATATTGAAGAAGGGGCGTGCACTCAGATTTTAGCTTCCAAAAACCTTCAATGCAGCAATTGAGTTGATTCCTTTCCACTATTATCGCAACCACCACCCCTTTACAGGGAAACAGAAGACCTTACCTTTTCAACCAGGCCAACAGTTCCCTTTAACAACCCCCCTTTCAAAGACATAAACGGGTATGTGGCATTGCAGGCTAAAAAAATAAGCCAAATGACTCACATTCCAAAGGTGTGGACCCATTCATCCGTTTCAATTTCAAGTTTTCTAAAGAAAAACAAGGCTTTGATGGGCTACTTTATATAACCTAGAATGTTATTTCTGACATTTTCGATTGAAAAAGCTTCCTGGATTTGAAGGGAAACATTCTCAAACTTGGAAACAAAGTCCAGTGCATTTTTTTTTATTTTTTTTATTTTTAATTTTTTTTTGAGATTGCCAAAAGACATGTGGGTGACTGGAAACTAAACAGTACAATGTCAAAGTGGAGAATATGTAAATTAAATGGGGAAAACAAGTTTGCAAGGAAACAAAACATGAGGAATGCCTTGATATAGAAACTTCATTCCTGCAGGAAAGATAAAAACATTTCCTTCCCTTAAAATGGGCACTCTTTAGGATTTATTTAGCTTTCCAAACACAGTCACCTTATTGAGGCAGCGTCTTAGTTGAACACAGATTCTGCGGCATGCAGGAGATAATCCAGGTGGGTGCGTGCTTTTAAAGCTCTTCAAAAGAAGTTTCTAAAGCTCTTCTCATTCTGTCTACCCCCCAGTGGTAGCAATTAGTTGACTTCAAGGCCAGATTTAAAGCAGATTTCCTTTAAGCATGTTTTGATTCGCCCTGGGAGTCTTTCTGTAAATAACACCAGCTCAACTACACTGTCTGTGTTTACTTTCTGCACAGGTTAAACTTGAGCTTCAACTTTATAAAAAATACATTAGAAAAAAGGATTTGGAAGAAGGATGTTTCTAAATAAATGTCTGGGAAGCAGATTTTTAATTATGTGCTGACATGTCTTGTGGTGGGACAACCATGATTGTTGGTGTTTTAGGGTTGCTGTCAGCAGTAACTGATGTGTTTTGCTCTGTCTTTTTGTTTCAGAAGAAGCCAATGCTGTTGTTTCACTGTTCAGATACTGGATCACAGAGATACTTCCCATGCAAAGAGACAAAACAGCAGGACTTTCTGCCACGCAGCAATAACACCATCTGTGAGCGAAAACAGACTATACCCAAGAAATATTTCTGCTTTCTTAGAATTTTTTATTTTTTCATAAATAAAGAGGTTGAACTTCATGAATGCAGCTTTTTTTCTTTATTCATACAAACATGACAAACTTAAAAAAAAATATCTTCAGTTAACTTGAATCTAACAAACATCTGTAAAGAAACTGATTTTATTAATTAATAATTTAATCAAGCAACATATCTGCTCCCTTTCCCCTTTAAAAAGAGTCTGATCAAAGCTTGTTTTGCCAGCACCTTGTAACTGAAATATGCACCGCACCATAAAAACCCAATGTTCCCATTTCTTTTCTTGCTGTTAAACACCAATAGTTAAATATGTAAATTAAAAGTGCTGTATACACTGTTTTGAATCATAATTGGTATTGATATAAAAAACCAAAACATTGAGTTATCACCATATCTGACTGCACACTTTTTAGACACTGCAGGTATAATGTATACCCTAAGGTCTTAGTCTTATTAGGAATTTCAAGTAACAACAATACCTCAAAGAAATTGATCAAATCTTTCAGCATCTATTAAGCACCAGGATAATGGGTCCTTGACACTGATTAAAAGTTGGGATAAACTTAACATTCCTGTCATTTAATTTGGTCTGAAACAATAAGATTAATCGATTGTTGAAATAATCAACTTATTTAGTAATTGAATTTCATTTCAGTTTATTTCTATAGAGCCAATTCCCAACACGTCATCTCAATGCACTTTACAGATCAATTCAGTTTTATACCCAAGGAAAACCTTGATTGCATCAACTCATTGACTCAAAGGCAATCCCTCACACCAAGCATGCTTTTAGCAACAGTGGAGAGGAAAAACTCCCTTTTAACAGGAAGAAACTCCCAGCAAAACCAGGCTCAGTGTGAGCGGCCATCTGCCAAGGTCGACTTGGGCTCAAGGAGACAGAAGCAGAGATACAAAAAGCAACTATAAAAGGCGGCTTCATCCAGGAAACACACAGCCAGGCAGACAAGCTCCAAGCCAGCTCCTATGTCTGAGGATGAAGAGAGCACATCCAGCCAGTCAGAGAAACAGGACCAAACAGAAAAACAAACCGATCTCCAACATCTATAAACAAAGGTGTTGATGGCAGCAGCACAGCTGATATTTCTCTCCAGGGTGGTGGATTGGATTGATTGATTTCAAACCTCTAAAACATGCTTTTAGCTGACAGAGCAACCAAGTAATTCTACCAAAAGTGTAAAATGAATATAATAAAATTTAGCATTCAAGATAGAGAAATATTTTTCTGTCAATATGCTCTATTTAAAACTCAAGTGGAAAAGTTTTAGTTTCACCTGGTTTAAGTAAAAAGCCTTCTTTAAGGAACCTTTTGCTATCGGATTATTAATCGATTAATCAAAGAAATTATCTACAGATGAATCGATTTGCAGAACAATCTTCAGTTGCAGCCCTGCATTTAATAAACAGTTTCTGCCAAGCATTATTTAGTAGTGCATCATTTAGTAGTATTTAGTAATGCATTCTATTTAAAAGCACATTTGTAAAAACAGATCTTAAAGTGCTACAAAGGAAAAGCTAAAACATAAAATCACACAGTGTCAAAATAGAACAAATTCAATGGGACACATGTAGTCGAACAATATAATTACAATCCTAATAAAACATTTCATCAAAAACAGTTAGAGGTACCTCAAAAATAAACGAGTATTGAAAAGTGTTCACAGTTGTTCATTTTATGAAATTATAGTTATTACTTTAAGCATATTGAAGCCAAACCTTAGTTCTTTATTACTATTTAAAGACCTGTAATCCAATAATGTTATGAATAGAATACAGAGCTGTATTAAGTTTAGTGGATGACAAAGTGTAGTAGAAAAACTGTCTAAAGGCATGAAGAACAGCTGGAGATTGTTTTCTTAACAGCCATGAGTCACTCATATCCAGGGCATAAGCTACCTTTGTCATTTTTCTTATATAAGGTGCTCCTAGAAATATATAATCTCTTCATGATTGGTCCAAATTCCTCCTCAAAGAACCTGAAGGAAAATATCACAGACAGCGAATCCAAATTGCTAGAGATCCCATGCAGTCTTTCAGCAGTGATGTTTTTAGGGGTCGTTTCATCTGACATTAGGTTCTGTTATGACCAAGTTTGCCATAGAAATTTACTGAGAGCCCTGATTGTTTCTCATTTCTGATGAGATTTACTGATTTAATTTTCCACTTAGACTTGACACCTGCCCACACTGTCAAAATGTATAAAAAAATAATAAATAAATAAATTATATATATATATATATATATATATATATATATATATATATATATATATATATATAAAATTAGAATCTAATAAACGGTAAGTTTTCCTTTTCATATTCTCCACTGTGAGTGAGGAGAGGTTGGAAACAGAGCTGACCTCTCCGTATAAAAATCACTTTTAATCTCTGTCTTCAAGGCGCAGTGAGGTTTTCGTTACATAAAAACCTTTTGCACAAACCATTAAAATCATCTGTGCTGCATCATTACTCATCCCCCTTAAACTTTTATTACTGGGAAAACTTAAGCATTGTCTGTAAATCTGTTGTCTTTGTTGCTGATTTTCAGCCACCCTGGCAACAATGGCAACATGCATTCTTGTTGCTTAACAGTTTTAACCTATACCAAATAGGGATTTAGCACTGTTTCCGTAGAATGTCTGTCTGCTGCTATTTTAAAACGGTTTCCCACAGCTTACATGCCAAGCAACAAGTTCAGGGAAAGGCTAACCAATTATCCCAGCTGGAAGGTGATAGTTTGGTGCCTTGAGCAAAAGCTGCTCGCCGCTTATAAACCTCAGTGAAAGGGTAGTTCTAGAAATGGCACCCACCAGTGTATAACAGCCGGTTACGATTCACAAGCCTGATGTGTGTGGGAGATGACTGAGTAGAGGGGCAGATGAATGGAGATCAGGTGCTGCTGATGGGACCTTAGACGTTCATTGTTATGTTACAAAGGAGAAAAGAAGGGCAGAGGCTGTGAGATTATGTAAGATCAAGCGAAGGTGATCATTTGCAGATTAATGAACCTGTTTTAGACTAGCTTAATGGATCCAGAGATTTCACTGCTGGATCAGCCGCTTAAATATCTTTTCAAAAAGTGCCGGTTTGTTAGTGTTGTTGTTAGTTTCTATATTCCTTCATACTTTTAGTTCTCATGTAGATACATACATATACATATATACATGCAAAAACATTCTCAAATGTGTTAATTGTCATTGATTTTAAGTCCTTTTCAACCCTTTCTATGCTATAACCCTAAACGTAACCATACCTAACCTAAACTGTTCTCAACTTTGTCCTAAACCTGTTAGAAAAACATAAAGTGAGAAACAGAAAATACCTCCACTTTGAATCAAACAACCCTTAATTTGATTGTTAAATTTTTTTTAAATGACTTTGATCTGGGCACAGTGGGTAGCACTGCTGCCTTGCAGGGTTCGATTCCCGGCCCAGGGTTTTTCTGCATGGAGTTTGCATGTTCTCCCTGAGCATGCGTGGGTTCTCTCCGGGTAGTCTGGCTTCTTCCTACAGTCCAAAAACATGACTGATTAGGTTAATTGGCTTCTCTAAATTCTCCTTTGGTGTGAGTGTGTGTGTGAATGGTTGTTTTTCCTGTTTGTCTCTGTGTTGCCCTGTGATGGACTGGCGACCTGTCCAGGGTGTACCCTGCCTCTCACCCATTGACTACATTTTCTATCTCAAAGATGATGGTTCCTCATTATCCTTTCAGTGGACAGCCATCAATTCAATTTTTATACAAGTCCTTCTCGAAATATTAGCATATTGTGATAAAGTTCATTATTTTTCATAATATATATATATATAAAAAAGCTCGCATAGCTCGTTTAGAGACCCTTTTCATAAAATGCTAATTTTGTGAGATAGGAAATTTGGGTTTTCATGAGCTGTATGCCAAAATCATCCGTATTAAGACAATAAAATAGCTTAAATATTTCAGTTAGTGTGCAAGGAATCTAAAATATATGAATGTTCCAAGTTTTATCATTAAATTATGGAAAATAATTAACTTTATCACAACATGCTAATATTTTAAGAAGGACCTGTAGTTGTGTGATATTCTTAGATGTTTTCTGTGCTTGGTGCATGACATGTAACCCTTCTTAAGACACTAGGACCTTTTTCACAACCACAGGATATGTTTTTCACATGGCTGTTTAAAAAATTACAAGCTACTTGTTGCCAGCTGAAAGATGATCGCCAGTGCATTTCTTATGCAATAGGTGGCTTGTACCTCTGTTCTTAGTTAAATCCTGTTGTAAGTCCGGATTTTATTTTAGCCAGTCAATTTTTTAAATTGAAAATTTTGTTTATCATATAATTAAACTCTATTAAGTGGGTAATAGCAGCCTAGTGGTTAGGGCATTGCGCTTGGCCCCCAGAGGATCTGAATTCAAGCCCCACTCCTGCAGACTACCACTCTAGGTCCCTGAGCAAGACCCCTAAACCCACACTGCCCCCCGGAAGACGCACTGTGGCAGCCCACTGCTCCCCAAGGGGATGGGTTAAATACAAAGGTCAATTTCTCCAGTGTGGGAGTAATACATTTCAAGTTAATTCCAGGAATATATTAAGTGAATCTATTTGAGCATCTACATTTTACTGAAGCTGTACTTTTATTCTGTTGATTGTATTTTTTCAAGATTGAGACAAAAATAAGCCTGTTTATGGTTGCATTAAATGTGTGTTTATCTAAATTTTGTCTCAAGAGAAATATAATTATATTCCAAACCCATATATCTAAATAAAAAGGAATATTATAATTAGAAGTTTGAATGCATACCATTATAAAATTATTTTAAATCCCTCAGCATTCCTTTTCATATATAAGATATTATGAAAGAAAATGTGAATCTATTTCTCTTTTTATCATAGCATAAAGTGATGTTTTTAACCAGCACAATTTCGCAGTATCTCATATTTATTTGGTTTGGCGTAGATTTCCCAGTTTTCCAGGAAGCAAATTTCACTCTTAGTTTATGAACCCATTATATTCATATTTGTGGTTTTGAGGGAAAAAGTCTCCTTAGCTAATACAATATTACACAGCAGACGTTTGGATCTGATTCGTCTTCTACATTAGTTTTATATTCTTCCTTTCTGAGCAAAAATAACACCCTACTGGCATCAAAGACGTAATTATAACACGACTTTGCAGGATTATTGTCACTCTGAGGCTGATTACAAGGAGTTAAGAGGCAGATTTGAGTTCTATCACCAGTGATGAGAAGAGACTGACTGCAGGGTTCTCACACTGGAAGCACTTTAACTTGACCACAATGAAAGATATACAACAAAACAAGGCTTACTCATTATAATATTTGGAATGGAAGACTATGCAAGGCGGTATGAACAGATAGTAAAGCTACAACAAAAACTGCTGATTCAGAAGGATAAGCATGGACATAATCAATTTATATAGCATATTTAAAAGCCTTAAAGGGCACTTTGCTGGTTAATGCTTTTGGTAGAAGGCCGTTCAGTGTATTTGTAATAATATATGTTTTTTGTTGTTCATTTCTCTTTTCATTTCCATGTGTTGCATGAAAGTTTCCTGTTCTCTCTGCTGTATTCCATGGTGTCTGTGATGTTATTTGATAACTGATGCTCACAAACTTTCCTTTGGTACCATCATGTAAGAATAGCTGTATATATTCATACTGAGGGCTCTGTTTACTAATTAGGTGAATTAAAAGTTGTATGGTTATGATAAAACGTTTTATTTTTGTCTTCCTTTCATTTCTTCTTTCTTTCATCTTTTCTTGTTTTTCTTGTTTTTCCTTTGCTGTTCTACTTTCAGTGCAGTGTCCATATAGTGTGTAATACTTCCTGCATAATCATAATAAAGTTATTTATATGCATAAATCAAGCGGAACACTATGGCGATAGCCGTACTGCTCCACTTGTGAAAGTAAAATCTGTTGGGCCCTTTTTTAGCATCAAGACAATTACTCTTATTGCCACATCACCAGACAGGACAAAAAAAAAAGCTGCATGGCAGCACTTGATTTTTAAGGATATTACAGTAAATCAGAAAATTTAAATTTAGCTCTGGCTTTTCAAACCTTTATAGATAAAAAAATGAAAAATCATAATTTTACATCCTTTAAAATTATGCAGTCCCTTTTTGTATTTCACATCAAGAACCAACAGGAGATACTAAAAGCTGTGGCATTATTGCGGTAGAATGTGCAAAAATTTTAGGGGATTTTATATTGTTTTTAATCGATGACATTCAGTTCTACAATATAATCCTCCCTTAAATGTTAGTATTTGTATTGTCAAAGCATTATCTAGCAAACCTCTTCAAATACTTTTGTTTGCAATGACCTCTTAGTTTGTGTCTTCCAGCTTCTTTAATCCCCTTAGTCTCACCTCCTCCAGCCTTCCTGTTATGCAAACAGAGAGCGGCGACGGTATAAGGGCTTACCAGGAGGTCCCATTTCAGACCGCAGGACACAGGTTGGGCACTCAGCAAGCAGGTCATCTGTCAGAGGGAGTTCCCGTTCAGGGAGTCCAGGGAGAGGAGCTTCAGAGAATAAAGCCAAACGTGATCTGGCCTTTAACTCTGATTTCCATCGGATTTTAAAAGAAGTCTAAGGTGGAAGGCTCCACAATGTTTTTCAGACTCCCATCACTGACTCCTGGTTACATCAGGCTGCTGCAGGTAAGAAGAGCACATCTTTTCCTTCAAACTTTATTAAAAAAAATCACACAGTTCATGTTTTACATGCATATATATCTGCACTAGAAAAATCTGCAGAGAATCAAAAGTCTTGGATGTAAACTAGATCCTATGATTTGACTTAATCCTGCTCTATTTAAGGAATTGTTGCTGCAGCTCCTACAGCAGAATGATTTCCCCTAAGCCATATGGTGCCATAATGCAAACAATAGATTTTAGCTTATTGCCTCAATAAATTGCATTTTGACAAAATGATGAAACACAGCACTTTCTTAATATACACCCATAAGCCACAATTAGGAAACGTTTCCTGCCTGATTTGCCTGTAATTTTGAACTGGTTGTTTGTTTCTCAAACAACTGAGAAATCCAAGCCGTGACAGTCCATTGAACTGTAAGCAGACATTAGAAAGAGATGATTGAGCTTCAGGAATTGCTTCTTAACTGCCTGTGGTACAGCAGCTGTAGAGAGAATGAAGGTTTCATGATTTACTCATCTTATTGTCTCATATTTTTCAGCGCATAGCATAAAGGAAACCGTTCATGCCCCATAAAAGACAACTCTTTAGTGTGCTATAAGAAGCAAACTAAATAACAAGAATTTATATGAAACGTGTTTAGGATTGGAAGAAAGTCTTCAGGGTTGAAAGTGTTTTTTTTTTTCTCTAACAGATGTTATAGTTGTCCCCTTTTCTCTCCCATCAGACCCAGGCGTTCCATAACATTCCTGTGACACCCCCAGCGGAGAAGACTGTGCCCGGTATGGCAATGCTGCTTGGGGCTGTGGGGATTGGGATGTGCGGCTACAGCTCCAGACAGTTGGCCCTTAACCACAGGCCCTCCACTCGTGTGATGCACTGGATCGGCACCCACACTGACGCTGGTGGCGCTGGCATGGCAACACATAGGACCCCTGTCCTGGATGTAACCCGCCGAGCTCCCACTACTCAGGAGATCCCGCCTCCTTCCTTTGTGGGCCAGAAATTTCCTTAGAATTATTGCAACTAATACAGAATATGTAGCATTATGGATTAAGTTTTTGTAGCTACACTTCCTCAGGTCTAAGATTGTAGCTATGCTGGCCCATTGCAGCTGCAATGAGGCCCATGTGCTCTCTGATGATGAGTAAGTGTAGATACCTGACTCAACCTAAATGCTACATGTAGTTAAACTGAATTACTTAGAGCAATAGATGTATGATAATTAAAATAAAAAAGCACTGGGAAGACACTAAGTTAAAGGAGTGAATGGAGGGATATACTGATGCTGAAACTTCCCAGACTTCATAAAGTTAGAACATTTTTCACCATCTAATGCCATGATTTTAGAAATTCAGCAAGCTTGGCATCGTCTCTCTTCCGATGATTGTTACAAAGGAAGACAGTCATGTCTAAGTGCTTAAGCAGCTCATTGATGGCTATGATTTCAATGGATTTCTTCTGACATGGACAAGTGAAGTCCATTCAGCAAACAATGTTAACATAAACTATATTCTCCATGTGAAATAGAATGAAAGAAAAAGTTTGAAATCCAGATATATATAAACTTTTAATTCAAGCACAGCAACATGTTGCAGATAATGATTGTTAGGGTTGTATGTCTGAGACCTTGTTGGTGGCAGTCTGGCAAAGCAAAGTAGTGACTCCTTTAGGATAAACCGTGTGCTTGTGGGATTAACTCTGCAGGAAAATCAACACATGCTTATTATCCTAATCTGGAATTAGAGATACAAAGACTTGAGGGACGCAGGCAGTCCCTGTGTGACCAAACAATGTGCCATTCACCCTGCAGTGTCCACCATTCTTCTCAGAGTCATACACAGAGTACGGAAAATTGGACCTGAGATCTGGCGAGGCGCTGAGTGTGGTTGAGAATGTGCGCTGTGCCTTATTTGTTGCACAGGATTACACTGTCTTGACACGAAGAGAGAAAGTTCTGAGAATAGAGATAGTTGACTGTCTGATCAGCTGGAGGTCAGACACACTATGTAATCTCTTTTTAAGCATCTGAAGCACCAGCCTTGTGTGACTGCCAAGCTGGACGAGTGGCAAGTTGTAGCAGGCTGCAAGCGTTTTAGAGCCCCAGCAGGTCTACTCCAGAACACCAGCAGGTCACCACCACGACAATCATAATAGACTCAGCAGAGCAGAATAATGGCTTCAACTGGCATCAGATGCTGAATAATGGGCCTGGAGGGAGGCTGACATCCTTTCGCAGCTATATGATAGGATTACAGTGGAGATACAATTTTAAAAAAATATGGCAAAAAAATGCCTGAAAGAACAATTTTCCACTTGTTCTAAGATTAAAAGTGGTCTAAATGTGTATATCTTCCAACTTTGCTTGTCGTAAAAAAATTGGCAAAAGAGGCTGCTTACCTCTTTCTCACTTCCCGTCACCTTATTGCAGAATGCTGGTGCATTAATGAAGAGTTTGCTCTTGAATTACGAATGTAGGGGGTGATTGAATGCATCATATTTATCCATTCAGCCTGCTTTGTGTCACACATCAGTGCTCATTGAATCAATTGTTAACTTTATGTTGAATAAAGGAGACTCCTCTTTTCTCTGTAGAAGTTCATACTTAATAAATCTATATTGCACAAGATCCTTTCTGCTGTTGCACTTTGGTCACAAATGTTAGCGATACTGCCTTTGCAAACATTTGTGGGGTTTTCTAATTTTTTGTACAAAGAAATAAATGTTTTTAGTTAAATTACAGTTCATGTTGTTTTGCTTTGGTGTGAGGTTGGGAGGATTGAGAGTATTTCTACTGCACTAATATTCTTATATGTTAGAAAAACTGGTTCAAAAGTTCAGATTTTAGCCGTAAAGTTTAAAATAGGTGCACGAATATGTCTGAAGTAATTTTTACCGTGTTGTTGTATAAAACCCACCATTTTCTTTTCGACTTTTTCTGATGGAATAACACTAAGTGTTTACAGGGAGTAAGACATCTGCATAGCTTTTAAAGTGACATGAACATTGATATTTGTTTTATTAAGCCCACTTAATCCAGCCTTAGTAACTGCTGGAGGATGCTACTCCTTAAGCTTTAATGGCAGAGACTCAATTATCTGCATATTTAAAGTAGTAACGTACTATACTGATTCATTGATTGATTGACTCACTTTATTGATCTCACAGAGGAGAAATGTACTCGTTACATGAGCTCAAATTGTCAAAAGAGAATAACCCAGTGCCAAAAAAAGAGAAAGGTGCATTGGATTTATACAGTATATATATAGTGCATCCTCATATGACAGCTTTTTTAAAATGTATTTATTTAACTATTTATTCATTATATTAATATAATATAATGAATAAATAAATAATTATACAGGGTTATTGCACAGGGTGTTTATATAGGTGGATATCTATATATATAGTTTTTGCACTGGGTGTCAAATATAGAGAAACAGGTTAATGCACAGGGTATCAAATAGTAAATTGCAGGTTATACATTGCACAAGTTATTGCTGTTGCAATGTAAAGTCTGGTTGCAGCAGGAATGAATGACCTGCGGTAGCGCTCCTTTTTACAAACAGGGCGTAAAAGTCTATCACTAAAGGAGCTGCTCAGATCCTCTACAGTTTGGTGCAGAGGGTGGAAGGTGTTGTCCAAGAAGGATGACAGCTTGGACAGCATCCTCCTCTCGGCCACTTCCTCCACTGAGTTCAACGTGCAGCCTAGGACAGAAGCGGCCTTTCTCTCAGTCTCTTGTGGGATTAACTCTGTTAGACGATTGATTAAAGGGGCTATTAACATATGTAAAGTTGATATGAATTATTTACTGGCTTTACATCATCATGAATGAATTATGAAAGTAGGAATTAAATAAATTTGGCTTTTTAATCAGCCATTATTTGTACAGGTAGTCTCATTAATATCCCATATCTTGCTTTGAAGAAGTACCTGTTTTATAATACAAACACTACAAAACAAAAACAATAATATTTTACAAACATAGTAACAATACAAGGGATTAAAACACTCAACTTAACTAAAAAAGCTTAGAAGCTATGGATTTAACAGAAAAAAAATTGCATAAAAAGAATTATGTTATTTTCTTCAATTAAATGAAAATTGTCTCAGACGGATGTAAATAATTTCAGATTGTCAGGAGCATTTCATATACATACAAGGCAGAGTAAAAATTTTTTTTTTCCAAATTTTTTTTCCCAAGAACTTTGGATATGTTTTGTCCAATAAGCTCCAACAATCTCTGCATACGTACTCAAGCTTCACATTCATATCAACAATGAGGATTAACTGGAGCAAACATCTGAAAAATGTCAAAGGTTTCCAATTGATTCAGGAAAAAAATACAGTCTTATTTTACTACATTTCCTTAAAAAGTGCTTCTAGGGAAAGCGTTGGTACTGAATATACAAACATCCACCGTGATGAACTGATGCAGACAGTGGCGGAGCTAGATGGGGGGCCAGGGGTGGCCATGGCCACCGTTAGCCAATCATTGGCCACCCCTATGGCCACCCCTACCGTTTTTTCCCCCTCTAATACAGGTGGTGGCAACAGTAATACTCTCAAGAGGAATAATTAAAACATTTTTATTTTTTTATATATTAAAAATTACTTAACAAAAAAAACTCTGTGGTTAATTCTGCACATCAATATACTAAGATTAAAGATGATAAGTACAGCATTAATTATTTTTTCAGAACTAGATTTTTTCTTATATGAGGTTAAGAGAAAATTATGTGTTTCTGCAGGTCATCTAAGAGTTTATTTTAATAAAATGTATTAAATAATCAATTTATGTAGATATTAGTACTTCTAAATATCAATTTTATGCAGAATGATTATTGATAAAAGTAGGTAAGTAATGACAATAGAAAAGATGTCCGCCCAAAACTCAAACCTCACAGAATTGTATCCACTAACTTTTATTTAGAAAGCACAGATGTTTAAATATTTATCTGTCTATTTGTTGGCAAAGGTTGTAGAAAAGTACAGTTAGTCTTTATTTAGAAAATATGGATGTTGTGCCCATTCGTTTTCCTGTTGTAGATTGACCCTGAGGTTCTGATGCCTTTCAACTTTCGGCCACCCCACAGTTTACATTGGTTATGGCCTGGCTGCCCTTATAAAAAAATTTCTAGCTACGCCTCTGTTTGCAGACTGACTTAGAGAGAAAAACAAAATTCCAGGACGATTCTGGCAAAGCAAAGCATGTTGGAAAATTCAGCGTAATCTAACTTCCTTTAACCCTTATATTATGTTAAGGGTCAATTTGACCCATTTCAGTTTTTGTGTTGATCAAAGTACTGGTTATCTTTTTTTCTTCTTCATGAAATTTGGTGACTTTTCCTCATCTGGGGTCATGAACATGTATGTAAAATCTGGCCACTCTGATGTGTAGTGGAGTGTCTGTGCAGAGTATGTATACAAATATGATGTTAGGGGTAATTTTGACCCGGACACTTTAATGTGGCTAAGTAGCCATTCAGGTAAATAAAAATGGCTCTTTGATGTACTTTACTCTTTTCATTTGCCTCTGAGACCCAGACCCAGGTGTGGTAAGGGAGAGAACTTTCTTACACTAGTTCTTGTCACTGCTCTCACATCATCTATATGAAAAAACTCACCAAAAACTTAGCTCCTGAAGGATTACAGCTGAGTAGTCTTTTTCACAAATTTTGAACTTGGATAGTGATGTAGAGCAAGAGTTTTCTAAGGCAGAGGATATTCCAGAATCAGAAGACAAAGTTATTGTTGACCCACATGATCAATTCTCCTACTATGAGATGGACTCAGAGGAAGATTCTTCTATTATCCCCCGAACAGATGAAAGCCCAGGAATGAGGCAATCATCTTCTGCAAGAGTGACAACATCACAACACCAGAGTTGATGCAGACTATCATCAGCTAATTTGATAAAAACTCCTGGTCCTACCAGATTTGCAATCACATGAATTGAAGAGATTCAATCAGCATTGCTCAGAATGCCCATATCATAATATGGGCAACCTGAGGTGCAAAATCC